TTGAAAGGCTATATGATCCTAGGATTCCATATTTAGTATATGATGCAGCTTATCGCTGTTCAGATATTGATTTGAATGCGGCATACACTCTTGTCATCGGTTTGGAATAGATTGACTACAATAAGCCATAAACTGGACGGATGCCCAAGACTTGGAGCCACGCAAATAATTCGTAGCGGAGGAGATACAAAGAGTCTCATATGCAAATGTGCAACGGTGTTAGCAGCTGCATCAATGGTAGGGGACTAGCCGATTGCGTCTTGGACTTGCGGACGTCAACAGCCGTCTAGGTGCTGATGGTCACCCTCATAGAGGTACGAAGGTTACATCAAGATCGTAAGCTTGATGGCATGTGGTAATGGGCTATGACTTGACTCACACATATGGAGATTATGATACATCCACACCTGCATGTAACGCAAGTGCGAGAACGCACACTAGTAAGAAGTTAAGAATCAGAACTTCTTCGATTGCATTGATATCACACAATTTCCATAATTTAGTCCCGCTACTACTGTTGTTGTTTGCTATACGATAACGAGGAAGTGATATCAGCATGATAAAATGAAAGAGCTGTTCATTCCCTGGAGATCTTGGTGACATGTATGATTGACCTTTGATGATGTCAAAACTAATAGTCGTAAGCCTAGCTTGTCGACTTACTCTGACACCACACGAGCTCCGGTTGGTACGCTTGTTGTGATCATGCATTGCTGTACCCTGCAGCAAAAGTTATGGCATAGATTACAATGTGTGTGGCCCTCTAGTGCTCGCGAAACGTTCCGCTTCACACACCAAATGATATGTAAATCACGCATTACAAATTGTAAAGGCTAAGCTTTTTTTGCCATGTCCTTCTCATCTCTTGCAGTCACATCATAGTGAACGTCCTACCAACACTGTTTCTTCCAAGGATTCGCATCAAGTGGACATAATTTTGCGTCTTCGCGTCCGAAAATAAACGGAAGAGCATGTGGTAGCATCTACCAAAGATCCACATTGACTCTTTGCGCTTTTTACTCTGATACGGTCGCGATGCTAGTATTCATCGTATCCTATTCAATTTATTTTGCTTGGCTTGGCAATCGCACCATTCACGACTCTGTCGTTATCGTTTCTAGACGCTCTGTACATTATCGATAACGCGTCTTCATCAAGTTCTGCTGTACTTGCTAAGTTTGATCTGCGTGGAAGGTCTCAATGTGCTATCGTATACTGTGGCGAGTACACGAGCTATTATAACCACCAAGCACAGGCTCATTTAGTCGTGACACCATCAGCGTTGCAACGATGTAGCAACGCTGATCACGTTGCGCAGTATTTTGCCTGCGTGGGTTAAAATTGTACATTTAGGAGGTCTAAATACAACTTTTTTGCAAAACCTACGTGCGGTTTCGTCAGAAACTTGATATGTGACACTTTGCCAGGTCTGCATTAGTGGAGGAGCGATCAAATATGTTGCAGTACACCATACTGAGTCCCTCAGGATATTCAGCGGACATTAGCACTCAGAGGTCATGCCCCTGGTTACATTCATTCATCGTCCCATGCACTCTTTCATCCTATCCGTTGCCTGTATATAGTTCTCATGCTACTCTATCGTGACCAACCGTTTCTTACGAGCAAATCGATGTTGTCTCCACCCGCACTTGTGCGTAGAACGTATATGTACAAACGGAGCGCTTATTGAAGTATATAACAAAATCTTTCGATCGTTTGAAGCAACAGCTTTTGTCCCAGAGATAGTTTTGGTTGACGTCGTCACTTTTGTAATTTTCACTTTTTATGCAGCGGGTTCTAGGTAAATTTTATCAGTCATTGAACCCTCGAATTTTGACCCAAAAAAGCTTCGCCAACGCGGCTAATAGGCTCAACTTACCCGGATTAATCGCATCTTGTCGATTAAAGCCTTGTTATTTTTACATTCGGTACAAATTCGCGCTTGTGATTCGTACGTGCGTCACTGGACGCATGATCATTCGCCCATCGTTCAACAGCATCGAAGTATAAGAATAAAACTTTGGCAGACTCCCGCGAGTGATCCGTTTGCCTTAAACAAATGTGTTTTATCGATATCTACAGTGTCCACAAGGTGCCTTACCAGTGATGTCACGAAGGGGTAAAACAGCATGCAATAAATTGGCCAGCCTAAATCAGGGCTTATAAATCGACATTCATGGCAAGAAATTACCACCACTACCATCACTGCTTGTTCAGACACTTCGGGTACCACGTTAGCTTGTGCACATGCTCATCCAAATTGTATAGACAGATATTTGTGGGTTAAGATTACGGTTGAGTATAAACACTTGTGCCTCATTCGCACTCTCTTTCTTCATGACCGTATCGGCTAGAGTAATTGTCACTTAATTTAGATGTCAAAGTCTTCACCTCAACTTGCTCACACATGCCTTTCGCATCTTCCGAATCATCAAGCCAAGGTGCATTTCCAATAAAATGGCGTGCTATTATAAAAATAAGGTTTGGCGCTATTCACGTCTACTCATAACGTAAAGAACAGTGGAGGTCAGATCTGCTAAAACCTATGTATGCAAGAGCGTTTTCGACTGCCCATTGTCAAATGTCCTATACGTTTACAAATATGGCACCGTCGCTTATCTCCGATTCGACACACATGCGCTAGTCCAACAGCTCATCTGCTTGTTCGTTTGTCTGACAAACATGAGTTTTCGATTCTTGCAACGTCGTTTCACCGTAAATGTGTACAGAAATGCCGGCGTTCGGCTCCAAAAGAATATGATTTGCTTCCATAGATTACCGCCATTCCACATTGTGCTCGGTGATTTACAAACATATTGCCCTGGCATCTTCAGTGCAGCCAAAAATAACATGCGTATTGTACCCGAAACGAATTGCTTATAAATCCTCATTCCCATACACGGGATACCTACCACGGAACCAATGCTGTTTCATTTTCATCACATATTTATACGTGAATTTCCTGTAGTAGTAGTTCAAAGTACTGAATGCATTAGTCGCAATGTGAAGTGGAGATCTAGGCCTATTCATTCCTGCCTCATTGCTTTTTGCTACCAACTTTCCGGCACTCCACCAGCAGATACAGCAAGAAAATCTAGACAACAAAGCCACGCACACTATATTCGTGATACTTACCGCCAACATCCTAAGTAGATACATTGCGATGCACTCATCTCTTCATACATCGTATATGAGACGTTTTAACGAACGCAGATGCGTCCGCGGGATGTGCCACAAATCCAAATATGCTGAAAAGTGGGTAACCACTTCCATCGTCTCTTATTTACCATTCGTATGTTCGTGTAAGTAGAGTTCTTCCTGACAAGTTTTTGCTTTGACTGCCAATCGTTTATACTAGGTGCTAGTACGCTGTCATGTGCATACGATGGTTCAAGGTACATATGCAGGAACATGAATCATATCATGCCGAAGTACGTGTACGCGGATTACACAAAAGCCGTTGCACGCAATGTTATCGCGAGCCTAAATGACAATTCTCTTGATGAGTGCGCGTAAGGGGGGATCGACTGACGGCAGCTACTTTTGTGTTGTCCGTCTGTAAGCCATATTGAATGCACGGTACAAGTCCTGAGTTGGTTGCGATCCAGCAAGGTTATCGGTAGGTAGGTATGTTCGTTAGGTGTCATATTCGGTCATGTTTTTAGTTGCTAATTCCTAAATTTTGCATGTCCCCGCACACAACGCACGTGGTTGGACGGAAAGTGATAACGGGCGATCTTGCCTTCTCCAAGAAACAATGATGCGATGTGGTCGAAGTAGGCCTTAATGTAGCAGACGCAGACAATCGCCATCATTCTAATCGTCACTCGCTATGGGCTTGCTCCTCCCGTATTGACTGGATTCGAGTGGCACTTGGAAATATTGGCATGCAGACGTATCCCCCATCCGCAGTACCATATAAGCGAAAAGCGATAAGCAACTGTCGTACTCCTCATATGGCGGTAGATGAGCCCCTGGACTTCCGCCTTCTCATCGATGTACTACATGTCATCAGTCTCACGTCGTTCTTGTAGTTGCTGTATAGACAGGACCAACGTTTGTATATCTCTTTCTTACCCATGTTTTTAACACAAGATCGGCCCCAACGAAGTTACAGTATCAATCAAGAGACAATAATGGTAATACCGTGAGTATGGCGACAACACAAAAGAACCGTTCCTATACCGTCATTTCGTGCTTTTTAGTTGAATACAAGAACATGCACATAATTTGATTCGATTCGTTGATATCATCTCTTGTATCATGGAGCGAGCTCCAGTGCGTGCGTCTATATCTTCATCGGGAATACCCACCTGCTATATAACGGTCACCATCGCTTGCGTGTCAAGGACCATGCGCTCGGTCGGTTGAAAACATAAACAGCCTTGCATGACAGCCGAGTGCAACGATCGCTCTCTTGCATACATACGTGTACATTTCGTCGTGTAAAATACGCCTGTATACGCACAGTCGAGTGGAGCATCCGTTTTTTTGCAAGCGAATATAAGCGCACACTTTTTGCGTACTTAACAGACAGCGACGCCTCAAACACGAGCAGTCAAAGCCATTGAGACCACCACGTGATGACGTCTCTCTTCCTGCGCCCGTCTTCGCGCCTGCTGTACACACAGCACTCGCTGCACTCTCGAGTACATCTTCAGGTAAGTGTCTATTTGTATGTGGATTCTGTATAACTAACAGAAGAAAAAGAAGGACACGACAAACAGTCGCAATCGATCGAAGTCAATAGAAATCCTTCACGCCTTTGTATCAGTTGACTCCCATCCATTGACATTGTGCGTTTTACTGCTACTACTTTGACGCTAATCTTTTGATGGTGTTTCGTTGATGTGTTTTGATGGTGTTTCGTTGGTGCATTTATGGTGTTTTTATTTTGTGCTTTTTTGCCGCAGAAAGCAGCATTCAGCTCTCCTTCCAGCTCTTCTTCATCTTCGTCAGGGCTCTCTTCGCTTCAGAAGGTGTCGCTCGGTCTGGCGGCAATGTTTGGCGGCGGGTACGCCGTTGGCTATTTGTTTGGCCCGTTCCCGTCGCTGGAAGATATCATGGGCGTCAAAGCTGTTGGTGGTGCTCCTCAGTACAAGGGCGAGGTGAGAAGATGAGTGGAAAATCCGAGGACTAGTGGAGCAGAAAGAGAAGAGGAGAAGAGGATGTTTTGACGGTTTATCTGATGTTTTTGGTTGTTGTCTGATGTTTTGGCGGCAGCTCTTTGTGACGGACAAGGTGTTCTTCGATATCAGCGTGAATGACGACTACGTCGGCAAGATTGTGATGGGCTTGTACGGAGAAGTGCAGCCCCGCACGGTCGATAACTTTCGTGCGTTGTGTACGGGGGAGAAAGGCGCGTCACGAGCAGGACCGCCGCTGTGGTACAAGGGCTCGAGCTTCCACCGCATCATACCAAGCTTCATGTACGCTCAGCTGTTGTGTGGTGCTTGCAATATGCTGCGCATACTGACGATTTGGCTTATCTTACCCGATCATGGATGTAGGATCCAGGGTGGAGACTTTACTCAGCACAACGGGCGCGGCGGTGAGTCCATCTATGGACGCCGCTTTGACGACGAAGATCTGAGCGTACCGCATGGAGGTCCTGGCACTCTGAGTATGGCAAACGCTGGTCCGAATTCCAATGGAAGTCAGTTTTTCATCTGCACAGGAGAGACGCCATGGCTTGACGGGAAGCATGTGGTGTTTGGACGCGTGCTGGAAGGTATGGACGTCGTGGACATTATCTCGAGCTGTGGAAGGCGCTCGGGTAAACCCAAAGCGGTGGTCAAGATTGTCAACTGCGGTGCGTTGGATACGGACGTGGCGAATCAAAGTGGCACCGACGAGGCGAAAGAGCCCAAGCGGTTGACGCGCGAGGAAATGCAAGACCGTCTCGACTCGCTGCGCGAGGTGGAGAGTAAGTTCGAGGCGCAAAAAGACCAAAGTGACTCCGCGATGTATGAGCAACTGATGGCGGAGATCAAGCACGAGAAGCTGCGCATCAAGAAAGCGTTGGAGCAGCAGCCAGAAGAGTAAGCGCCTCATAGGAGCCGCTCGAAGTTTCATGGAATGAAAACCTCGGAGTCAAATGCTATGTGCTTTCTGAGCTCTCGCTCTGAAGCGTGTCCACACTTGCTACAGACGTTGTAAAACAAAGTCCACGGGTCGTCTGTGCACTGTTGGGTGTGTCTCGCTTGACTTTCCCACTCGCCATCTGCGATGTACTCTGTTGCAGTATTGTATACCTCCACAGAATGTATGATCACAGACCACCAGAGCTAAGCTGCGTGACTTGCGACGATGGAAAAGGGAGAGATCTCATTTTTGTATGCACGAAGGAACATTCATTGAGGTGAGACGTCAATTGATCATCATCAGACAGCTGATCATTGTAGATTCATGCGACGAGTGCAAACAAGTCAGTAGGGTTTTCAAGTTCACGAATACACCACGATAGAAGATCATCCTAGCAAAGTGGTCACGACATGTTCTACACTACATTTCTTCTTCTTCTTCTTCTTATATTAGTATTGTTTGATTGTGGTGTGTTTATTGCATATTCTGTTTGACGACTAATTTGCAAATTCATTATACGATCAAAAAAGGGTAGAATGAGATTCGGATTTGATCATACGTATCATACTTTGCTCTGTCACTTTGACAGGACGAAAGATGCTATTCGTCTGACGCTTTCGTATCACTTACGTGTTCACAAACGACAAAGTTTGATCGTTTGCTCCGCAATAGAACGCATTTGCGTAAAAGTTACAATTTCTACAAGCAGCTAGACCAGACATGCTTCTGGCGTTTGTACTTTTATTTATTGCGATTCATAAAAGCTACGACTATAAATGTCAGATACGATACCAAACGTACAAAATATCGTTCTGAGAAGGACAATGTGTGCCATGCAGAAGCAAAGACGAAAGACCAAAATATACGTACATCATATATACAATTTTGACTTTTTGCTGATATACATAATGCTAAGAAAACGAATCGCAGTTTAATTTCGTGCAAAACTCTCAATGACGGACAGGGTTGAGAAGACTCGAATTTTCACACTCACTATAAGAGACTCACATTCCATTACCGCAAGGCAGCAGTCACGCCCCCATCCCTTATCTACACTATCTTTTCTTACCGTCGCATCCATTTCATACATGATTTGCCGATCGCCCAAAGCCAGCGCCCTAATGAAAGGTCAAGTAAGGCGAGTTATGTAGGAAGGGAGTAATGTGGAGATGCTAGCGTCGACAAACCACGATAAAGAGGCATCTTTTCTGGGAAGCGAATTGAAGGTGTGGAGGTCAAATCCTTGTTCCACGAACTATGATATTGCACTTACAAACTGCCGAAATACGGCCTCGATGTTTACCAGTGGCCGACCATCTTTTCCTTCAGTTGTTGCCGCGTTTGTCTCTGTGATGATGGAATAACGGACAGAGTATTTCGTGTGCCGATAGCGGCGATGATAGAGAGCGTTTTCGACCAAATCTATTCCGCAGAATCGCTGGTCGGCACACGTATTGGGATCTGCACTCTCATGAACAAGTTGCTGGTTTGCACGACCGTGCCGGTCATTTGCTTGCCGAGCAAAACTCGGCAGGCGTCGACTGTTAAGGACAAAAGCCACAGCTAAGGATGGAGTAGCTAATGCATATAGGCGGACAGCACACTTCTACGTGGGCATCAGGACTCAGTGACTTTTCTTTCTTCGTGGCAGGCTATCAATTGAGTAGCCGCTAAACGTTGAAATGCTATTCAACTCGATTCTTCTGTTTCGTCTGCTAGCGCTACCAAACAAAGTATGTCCGTGCGTGCGTGTGTGTGAGATGGTCATAACTCCCGAGGTAATTGTCTGCAGACATGCTGTGCACACGAGACATTAGTACTGGACCAATGCTGGTCGTCAACGCTTCGACACGCACGTGCTTCGTGACCAGCAAGAGAAATGCGAGGGTGCAGCATCAACGGCGTTCTAGCTACACACTGTCTCTAGCGCAGAAGGGCAAACCTTTCGACAGCTTCCAACGCGGCCCGTAACTCGACAACACGTTCGCTTCGTGACTCGGTCACCATATCGTGCATAGTGGCCATTACTGTTGCTACCTCCACGGCAGGCGTCAGTCAGTCTCAATGCGTCGGCACAGAACACTCGTGATCGCCTTTTGGCACACTCGCGATCGCTTTTTGGCACACTCGCGATCGCCTCATCGATTCCGCACCTTTTTACGTGCGCCCGCCCGCCGGTGCGCACTTGTCGTCGTCGTCGACGGCGCTCTATATTCGTTTCCACAGGTTCTCTGGTCCGCCGGTTCTCCCATCGCAGCTGTCACGCGCGCCAAGTCGCTCGCCATCGGCAGTCCACAACTTCGCACCTGAGCAAAACATCTCATCCTCAGATGTCGACGCCCTCGTCCGCTTTGCAGCTGCCCCCACCTGCCGCCTCCCGTCCTCCCGAGTGCCCCCCACCCGCCGCGCTGTCCTCTGTACTGACCGAGTTACACCTGACGCGCGTCGTGCCGACTCTGTGGTGCATTGGGAGCCACCGGCCCGCGCGCTTTCGCCTCACACCGTCGCACTGTGTAATCGAAGGCGTCGACAGTTGCACAGAAGAGACCGCGTGGGACGACGTCTTGGGCGCCCACGTGCGCACAGCGGACGGAAAGCCTATTGACGCGGCAGTGGACTATACTACTGGGGCAGACCCCAATGCCTCGTTCGTGTTGACTCTGTACGTCTGCGGCTCGCAGCAGCTCAGGCCCAAGACGTTGAAGAAGCGCAAGACGAGCGAGTTCGTGTTTCGATGTACTGGACAGCAGCTGCCACAGGTTGTCAGGCTGCAGCAGTGCATTAACTTTCTAGCGGACCCGAGGAACCAGGAGAGCGTGCAGAAGGTCGAGACGCTGGACGACCTGGAGCTTGTCGAGCGACCGCCACGCAAGTACCTGGTGCTAGTGAACCCTGTCAGTGGACCAGGTGACTGCAGCATTGAAAGCAGGAGAGCGGAATGGAGAGAGGGAGAGAGTGTTGTGCTGATTCTGTTGTTGTTGATGTGGTGGTGGTGGTGGTGGTAATGGTGGGTCTTGCAGGACGTGCGATGCAGATCTACGAGAACAAGGTGGCACTGCTGTTTCAGCATGCCAATGTAACGACGGATGTAAAAATCATGGACCACGCGCAGCACGCGACGGAAGCCGTGATGGAGATGCCGTTGGGTGTGTACGACTGTGTCGTGGGGGTGGGCGGCGACGGCACTTTATACGAGAGTACGTGGTGCAGGTGTGTGTTGCGGCATGTCTTGATGGATCGGGTCCAACAGTGTTTGCCTCGCTGCTTGCAGTTGTACAGGGTTTGATGAAACGAGCAGACTGGAACAGAGCCATTCGACAACCGATCGGGGTCATTCCTGGTGGATCGGGCAACGGTCTCGCGCACTCTATCTGCCATCGAAGCGGTGAAGAGGGCAAGCCGGTGAATGCTGCGTATATCTTGGCGAAGGGTATGCCGCATAACTTGGACATCACGTCGGTGTCGAATGGAAAAGAGACGACGTACTCGTTCTTGTCGCTGGAGTGGGCTTCCATTGCTGATGTCGACATTGGGTCGGAAAACCTGCGTATGCTAGGCGGACTGCGGTTCACGGTATCATTTGTGAACCAGTTGCTGTTCCAGAGACCCGATTATCCGGGCAAAATTTGGTACCTCGAAGAAGACGAGAACGAAAACCCTCCGCTGTACTTTGAGAAGCACGATCCCGAGTCGACGGATCGGCCTAAGATGGACTTGGTCGTTGGAAAGGGTCAAGATTTGTCTGGCGTTTTGCAGCAAACGACTGGAGAAGAGATCCAAACGAAGACTGAAAAGGACGCTGGCAAGGGTGGTAAGTGGAAGGAGCTATGCGGTCATTTCCGTGTCGTCTGGACGATGAACGTATCACACGCGGCTTCCGACGCTCACGTTGCTCCCGACGCGGAGTTGGACGACGGCTTCAACTACATCACGCTCATGGATGGCTCACACTCTCGCAGGAACCTGGTCGCTATGATGTTGGCCATTGAAACGGGCGGGCACGTGGACAAGAAGGGCGTGCAGCATGTGCGCACACGAGCGTTCAAGATCATGCCGGATCGGGCTGACGACCTTATGTGCGTGGACGGCGAGTTGATGGATGGTCCATACCTCGAGGCAGAAGTGCACCGTGGCATGGCTTGCATTATGGCCATTCCTCGCTGTCCGAGGAATAGCGAAAAGTAGCGGGTCCGATCATTGACGTAAATGGAATGCGACGCGAGTGGACGTCAGGCTCGTGTTTATTCACGTTGTATCCGTTTGACTAGCGTATAGGTGACGCAGGGTCGAGTTGTGTTTGCTCTCGCAACTGGAAGAAAGAGCACAAAAGACCTGTACTTCGCGACTGCTGTTTGATCGACTGTATTGTAGCTTCATCTTACTCGTAAATGGCGATGCCGCATTTTGTTCTCATCAGCGTAGCACGTCGTTCCCAGTCGCCTACGTCGCTGTAATCCGTCTTGAGCTTCTCAATGTGCAATGACACCAGTGCAAATTGTGAACGCTGTGCAGTTCGTGTCAGCGGTCTGATTAGTTCGCTCGTGTACCCAAAACAATATGTTCAGATGTGCGACTTGTTTACTTCGCACAAACACATCTCGAACGTGTACAGTCCTTGTTAGACGAACCTTTTTCATTTGTGTCGACGAACGATAAACATATCCGTCACGATGAATGAAAGTAAACAACGTGCCACAAACTGGAACAGGAACAGCAATAGCCAAGGGCATGTAAAATAATGATACATGTCGCACGATAAAAAGATGAACGATACAAAGTGCAAAAGACGTACGCGATGAGTACGAACATACAAATATCGCAGTGAAAAAGGGATCCGTCGCTGACGGCCATGTGAATTCGTCGTATCGATTGGCGACATTTCCAGTGTACGCAATGGCCTGATAATGTCGGATCGGGATTCGGATCCGTCAACCACATGGTTGTTCATCACGATGGTTGCA